CGGTGCGCGTCGCCAGCCCGGCCCGGCCTGTTCCTGCCACTCGCGCCAAGCCTACGGTGCGCGTCGCCAGCCCGGCCCGGCCTGTTCCTGCCACTTGCGCCAAGCCTACGGTGCGCGTCGCCAGCCCGGCCCGGCCTGTTCCTGCCACTCGCGCCAAGCCTACGGTGCGCGTCGCCAGCCCGGCCCTACCTGTTCCTGCCACTCGCACCAAGCCTACGGTGCGCGTCGCCAGCCCGGCCCGGCCCGTTCCTGCTCCACGCACCAAGCCAGGGGTGCGAGTCGTCAGCCCGGTACGGCCCGTTCCGGCTCCACGCACCAAGCCAGGGGTGCGCATTGTCAGCCCGGTCCGGCCCGTTTCTGCTCCACGCACCAAGCCAGGGGTGTGCGTCGTCAGTCCGGCACAACCCGTGCCTGGGTCACCGGTGCCTGGTCAGGTACCGGTCAGCTGCTCCACACCGGAGCTGAAGCAATCCGCTCCTACGATGTCCAGTCCAGCTCCAGCCAGCGGGGCCAGACCGGACCAAGGGCGCTACGGGGGGATTATTGGAAGGTGGTGGGCAAGCCCGGAGCCGGAACCGCCTCCGAGGAGGAATGCCCACCCAGCCCTCCCCTGTTTGGTTTATGTGGAGGCGCGGTCGCAGTCCGCGCCTTTGGGGGGGGGGGTACTGTCACACCCTGGCTCTGGGGACTCTATATGTTGAGCCAGGGTGTGTAGTTTCTATGTGTTTTGTTCTATGTTTTTCAGTCTAGTTCTTGTATTTCTATGTTGGCCAGAGTGGTTCCCAATCAGAGGCAACGAGTGTCAGCTGTTGCTGGTTGTCTCTGATTGGGAGCCATATTTAAACAGTCTGTTTTCCCTTAGTGTTTGTGGGATCTTGTTCCTTTTAGTTTGTTAGTACTGTTGGACTTCACGTATCGTTTGTTGTTTTGTTTATTGTGTGTACACTTAATTAAATAAGATGTACGAATCTCACGCTGCACCTTGGTCCACTCACTCTAACGAACGTGACACTCTGTCAGGAGGAATGGGCCAAAATTCACCCAACTTATTGTGGGAAGCCTGTGGAAGGCTACCCGAAACGTTTCACCCAAGTTAAACAATTTAAAGGCAATGCTACCAAATAAATAAACTTCTGACCCACTGGGAAGGTGATGAAAGAAATAAAAGCAGAAATAAATCATTATCTCTACTATTATTCTGACATTTCACATTCTTAAAATAAAGTTGTGATCCTAACTGACCTAAGACAGGGACTTTTTATTAGCATTAAATGTCAGGAATTGTGAAAAACTGAGTTTAAATGTATTTGGCTAAGGTGTATGTAAACTTCCGACTTCAACTGTACACTATCAAGCATTTCACACATTTTATTTAGATACTGACTGTTAGCACTTGGTGGCCTAGAGCACCACCCCAAAAGAAAAGGCTTTAGATGTGCCAGGTGAACCTGTAACCACAACACTTCAATAACACTTGACATACAGTGCATTTGGAAAGTATTCAGACCCCTTTACTTTTTCCACATTTTCGTACATTACAGCCTTATTCTAAAATTGATTCAATTGTTTTTTCCCCTCATCAATCTACACACAATACCCCATAATGACAAAGCAAAAACAGGTTTTTAGACATTTTTGCAAATTTATTAAAAATAAAAAGTATTCAGACCCTTTACTCAGTACTTTGTCAAAGCACCTTTGGCAGCGATTACAGCCTTGAGTATTCTTGGGTATGACGCTACAAGCTTGGCACACCTGTATCCTCTCAAGCGCTGTCAGGTTGGATGGGGAGCGTTGCTGCACAGCTATTGTCAGGTCTCTCCAGAGATGTTTGATCGGGTTCAAGTCCGGGCTCTGGCTGGGCCACTCAAGGACATTCAGAGACTTGTCCCAAAGCCACTCCTGCGTTGTGTTGGCTGTGTGCTTAGGGTCGTTGTCCTGTTGGAAGGTGAACCTTCGCCCCAGTCTGAGGTCCTGAGCGCTCTGGAGAAGATTTTCATCAATGATCTCTCTGTACTTTGCTCCATTCATCTTTCCCTCGATCCTGACTAGCCTCCCAGTCCCTGCCGCTGAAACACATCCCCACAGCATGATGCTGCCAACACCATGCTTCACCGTAGGGATGGTGCCAAGTTTCCTCCAGACGTGACACTTGGCATTCAGGTCAAACTGTTCAATCTTGGTTTCATCAGACCAGAGCATCTTGTTTCCCATGGTCTTTAGGTGCCTTTTGGCAAACTCCAAGCGGGCTGTCATGTGCCTTTTACTGAGGAGTGGCTGCAGAGATGGTTGTCCTTCTGGAAGGTTCTCCCATCTCCACAGAGGAAATCTGGAGCTCTGTCAGAGTGACCATCGGATTCTTGGTCACCTCCCTGACCAAGGCCCTTCTCCCCCGATTGCTCAGTTTGGCCGGGCAGCCAGCTCTAGGAAGAGTCTTAGTGGTTCCAAAACATTTCTGCAGCATTGTGTTCTTGGGGACCTTCAATGCTGCAGAAATGTTTTGGTACCCTTCCCCAGATCTGTGCCTTGACACAATCCTGTCTCAGAGCTCTACGGACAATTCCTTTGAACTCATGGCTTGGGTTTTGCTCTGACATGCAACTGTAGGACCTTATATATGTGCCTTTCCAAGTCATGTCCAATCAATTGAATTTACCACATGTGGAATCCAATCAAGTTCTAGAAACATCTCAAGGATGATCAATGGAAACAGGATGCACCTGAGCTCAATTTCGAGTCTCATAGTAAAAGGTCTGAATACTTATGTAAATAAGGTATCTGTTTATTTATTTTTTTATACATTTGCAAACATTTCTAAAAACCTGTTTTCGCTTTGTCATTATGGGGTATTGTGTGTAGATTGATGAGGATTTTTTTTTATTTAATCAATTTTATAATAAGGCTGTAACGTAACAAAATGTGGAAAAAGGGAAGTGGTCTGAATACTTTCCGAATGCATTGTAAGATCTTCTCTAAGCATTACAGGGCTATGGCTCCATCGAGGCTCTGTCGTAGCCGGCCGCGACCGGGAGACCCATGGGGCGGCGCACAATTGGCCCAGCGTCGTCCAGGGTAGGGGAGGGAATGGCTGGCAGGGATGTAGCTCAGTTGGTAGAGCATGGTGTTTGCAACGCCAGGGTTGTGGGTTCGATTCCCACGGGGGGCCAGTATGAAAAAAACGTATGTATGCACTCACTAACTGTAAGTCGCTCTGGATAAGAGCGTCTGCTAAATGACAAAAAAAAAAAATTATAATAATATGGCTCTGAACATATAAAGCAACACCTCCCCCATAAGCATTCCTGTTTCTTCTATAGATGTTATATCCTTGTAATCCTATTGCTGTATCATCAAATGAATTATCTAAGTGAGTCTCAGAATGTCATCTATGCACTTAAATAGCGGACGGTGGATGTTTTTCCCATAATTCATTTTCATGCCAGCCAGGTAGGCTATACTCCTGTTGTAAAGATAAGCAATATGCTTAATATTAGGAAAGTTGATAAATAAATATAGTAGGCCTAGCCTATAGAAAGCTGAGGGATACTCTGTTTTCTAACGCAATTGCATAGCCTATAGAAATGTTGCGCAACATGAGCTCATGGGTTCTCATGAAGTGTTTGATTTGATTTTCGATAACATTTGTATTGATGTCAGAGTGATTAGACGGACAATAGAGTGCTGAGTACCAGGCAGTTAGCAAGTTTGGTAGGCTACTAATGACCATCAGCAGCATCAGAGCTTGGAGAAGCCTAGTTATGCGGCTAAACGGTCACGTGGAATTTAACTGCGGTCACAACTCGTGACCGCCTGTGTGGCGGTAAGACAGTCCCAGTAACAGCCCTAGCTGTTGGCACTGCAAACCATTTGTGTGCAGTGCTGCACATTCCGCACCAATGTGTGCACGTTCTGGCACGAAGCCCAGCGCGCCATCAATTGTGCCACAAAAGCATGCTCCTGTGACAGAGTTGATATCCGCGCTTATAAACCCAGGGCCGTTACACAACTCCCTCCTTTCAAAGAGCGAGTCCTCGCGCTAGCCTACGAGAGACGATATTGGATGCTGTTTCATCTCATGGCAGCATTGTCTGGGCTGGGATTTGGGTCTAGTGTGTAGTGAATGGTAAATGGTAAATGCTTCCACTCCCCTACTTATACTTAAGATTTTCAGTGGCATTCTGCCACTACTCTATAGTACTGTACATGACCTCTAGTTTGCGATTGAATGGTTCCCATCGTGCTGCACTCTAAAACAATAACAGAGAAGCAGTCATAAAGGCAGATAAACACACTGTGATCTGGAGGATCTGAAGGGGTTATTCATAAATAACTTGTTGTGACTAAGGGCTTTACATATTAATAACAACAATAATGACTACAAAGTGTAAAGTTGGACACCATCTTCAATTGGTTATTTGCCCAACTGAATGAACAGTTTTTTATTTAAAGAGATAATTACATCAAAACCAAACAACGAGAGTATTTTCCCCAGCTCTTTCTGATGCGCCTTTGAAGTACATACTACAGACCAGAGGAACAATAGAGTGCCAGCATCTTCAAATCTGAGCGTAAACTATGATGACAATCCTGACACCTGTTTCAAAGTCCTAATTTGCACAAAATTAGGGGAAACAGAACAACAAACAGTTTATCTGAGAGTAGAAAATCTAATACTCTCTGAGCTGGTCTCATCCCAATTTCCCATAAATAACATTTGTTTCAGATACGGAGAGGGGAAAGTTTCCATTCAACTTTCAGATTAGTGTCTATGTATATGCCTCTTTAATACTGCTTTTCTCAAAAGCTTCCAACAACAAGGAACACTAAAACAATTCCCCATCAAGCTTGATATTAGAAACAAACATTTAAACTTTCCCATGAAACTCAAACAGCTTCCAAGGCCTTGTTAAACATTCAGACTGAAGTCACTGAACTTATACTTTAGTGTGGACTTGTGCCAAACTTGGACACATTACTAATAGGGAGAGAGAGTCTCACCACAGAGGAGGTGTATCCCTCCTGGCAGAGTTGTTGATGTGTTTGAAACAGTCTGGACCCAGCAGAATCTCTCCATACCGGTGAGACACAACCACCAGCACGTTCCTTCCGCACATCCAGGATCTGAGGTGGGACAACAGAGTGGTGTTGGCACAGTGGGAATGGCAGTGGCACATGATATACAGTGCATTCTGAAAGTATTCAGACCCCTTGACTTTTTCCACATTTTGTTAAGTTAGAGCCTTATTCTAAAATTGATTAAATTGTTTTTTCCCTTCATCAATCTACATACAATACCACATAATGACAAAGCTAAAACAGGTTTTTAGAAGAAAAACGTTTTTTTTGCAAACATTTCTAAAAAACTGTTTTCACTTTGTCATTATGGGGTATTGTGTGTAGATTGATGAGGAAAATATTTTATTTAATCCATTTTAGAATATGGCTGTAACATAACAAAATGTGAAAAAAGTGAAGGGGTCTGAATACTTTACGAATGCACTGTATATGTGTGGATGTTGATGATTGTGTGTGCTTGTGCTCTGTTAGGGCAATATAGGTTTGACATAGACCCAACGAGGACTGGAAAAAAATCACATAATCAAATGACAGATATTAATCACATATAATGGTTGTTTGGGGAATGATTAGAAAACTGATGTTAAGCAATAAACAGAAGAATACAGACATGTTTTCCTCTCCCATGATAAAGATATCAGCATACAGAGAGAATCGTTGTGCAAAACCACTTGTGGTCGGAGTAGGATTGTTCCCATGGCGAAATATAGATAGACTTAATAACTGACATCATCTTCCCTTGACAGATGATTTATGTCAACTCTCTAAGTGGTCCAACAACAGTGTGCTTGGCGATTTAGATAAGCAACATTGTGGTCACTGGTCCATGTACCCAAGCACCTCCTCATCTGTCATACCAAAGACGATGTGATGATTAGCAAGATGATTGACAGGTCACATGTGACAGGGGATGACTAGTGAACACCCCCTGGATGTCTGGTTTCAGCTCTGCAGCTGACACAAGATGCATCGCAAAGAATAAGCCTTTATCCAGGAGAATATCTGCCTCAGCCCCTCCGCTGTCAATCAAGAACCCTCCACGCAGCATGGGAGACAGTGCCAATGCCATCTGCCTATTTACTGTATTAAAAAACGTGTCCCTTTATTCTCCGCTCCTCACTTCACATCCGTACCCCCGAGTTGAAGAAACACTAAATTCTAAATGAGGAAATGGAGAAGGGGGCTGAGAGGAAAAGAGATTAGAAAAGAACAGATTAAGAATGAGCCCTCGAAGTAAATTGCCTGTCACTGTTGAGAGGCGTGAGTAGAACATTAATCAGAATATTACCCAAAAGCACCTGGGTATGAGGGGGAGCATTAGACGGAAGGCACTTCTCTTCACTCGTTGGGTCAAATTCAGGATGATGACATATGACCAGATCTTGACCATCCCTCATTGACACACACATCATATCCCTTGTAGGAGGGAAGCACATTTGATATTCAATATTGCATACACACCTCACTAAGTAGACCTCCATTGAACAGACTCAGTGCGACCTATATTCCAAAATCAGATTGTCCAGAGCATAGATAAAGCAAAGTCCTGTGGGATTCAGCACAGTACAACTTCCTCTCAAGATGTCTCCTCCCACTCAGACATGGTCCATTGCTTTTGTTTTTGGCAAAGGGCTACAATCAAAGGCAGATTCATCTGAGAAATGTGTAAACAAGGCTCTGGACTCCAGCAGAGAAATCCAAAGAGGCATTTCACAGTGGTGCACTCCCACTGTCAAATTCTGACATTTGGCATTCATGCCTGCTGATGATGTGCGTGAATACGAATGCATGGAACAGAGGGAATGAAAACGATTAGGAAATTATTTAATTGTTGGAGCCTCAGTCTGTACCCACTGGTATTGACTGGGGCAGGACTGAATGCTTGCTTGAATGCAACATTAAGTTTGGATTACAGCATCTTATTTTGTTTCCACTGACACCAATTACAGCACAGATTGGTCTTCAAACAGTGACAGGTTAAAGTTAGTAGACGTGTATAGGTGAGTGTGTATATGTTTGTGTGTGTGTGTATGCCATGGTGCCAACACACAAGCCACTGTGTGAGTTCTCTCTGTCTATTCTGAAGGCCCTTTTGCTTGAAGCATGTTTATAATAGCATATTTCTGGTTTGTATAGGACGAATGTCTCTCAAGGGTTTTCCTGGACTTTGGATTCTTCAAACCATTTCACACTCTTTTGCTGGATTTGATTTTACCTGTTTGCCTATCAATGTTTGTTTGGTCATAGTTTGTGGAGAGAATGTACGCTTTTGACTGTCATTGGCCAATGCCCAGTTGAATATGGAGAATAGAAGGATGTAGGCTAGGGATAATGATGATTTTGAGGATGACAATGGTAATATGTTGTTGATGATGATGAAGCTGATGTTGATTATGTTTTTTTGTTTTTGTCAGCACTTGTTGATATGTTGTTGACCAGATGATCTAAGAATACACAGAGCACATTACTTATTAGGCAGATTTGGCTTGCTATATATTTGTGCTGCTGCTAATGTTGATCACTAGTAGGCCTACTGTATATATTAGTATTAACAGCTGCCTTGACTTGATGTACTAGCTCAGTGTATTCACTAGAACTGTGTGTCATTGTGATCCATGTGGATTTTATGTTCATTTATGTTTTTATGCTCCTTTGCTGCAAAACTAAACTTCTTTGTTCCTCGCCTCAAGTCATTGTTTTGGAGTGAAAGTTTACATAAAGTCACCTTGCAGGTTTTAATTTGTTTCTGGTGGAAGGGTTGCTAAGGAACAGACAGGAGCCCCCTTCTATATCCCAGTCAGTTTAAAGGGCATCTCATCATCACTGCACCCTGGGAATAAGCATGCTTGGAGATAACAAGGACACATTAAGAATGCAGTATCCAAGTGAAATATTAAATAGGAGATAATGTATATTACCTTGGACTTGACATAATATTCAAGTATAAATATATATATATATATATATATATATATATATATATATATATATATAATATAAATAATTGAGGGTCAGTGAACCTCAAGACCACAGAGGGTTAGGATGAAAACTTAAAATGGGTCCCTGAGCGTGCGGGATAGCATGAGGCAACCGTGTGAATACTGAATAGAGCACCAAAGGGAATGAAGCAAAGTGGACACAGAGTAAAGCACATGTAGTAAGTGAAGCGATTGTCCTCCCGCTGCCGTCTCTCCATCATCCTCACGGTCTTGCAGGAAACTCTGCTTGTCCTCACAGTATATCCTACAATAGAGACAATAAAGGGAGACTGGTTGTAGGTGGTTGACTTTTAGTTTGAGAATGTCAGTACTGTAAACTGCATGTCTCCTCGAAGGAAAGATTTTTTAATGCTCTAAATGTCACCATATCCTGCCAGGTTAATGGCTACCTATAGAGCATATCAAGCATCTCATAAAGGCTCTTGATCTAATTAATTAAACCTAGCAGAGCCCCGTTCTGCCTACTTACAGCAAGCACACGCGCACACAAACGCACGCACGCACGCACACAAACATCTGCTAGCATGCACGCAAGCACACAAGGACACACACACACCTGTCATACCCCTAATTTTCTTCTATGAAAGGCTGTTATTTTCAGCCCTGTTTGTACTTTACCTCTAAGAGCTGTAATGAACTCTGTTGATAGAAATTACATGCCTGTCTTTCTTTTTATATTAGCCTTAATCTCAGTTACCCTGAAGTAAAATGATTGCGAAAGTTTGTCACTTCCTCTTTTACACGCAGAATCTGTCCACGAGAGATTATATTATCATCAAATAACAATATAATATAATAATATGCCATTTAGCAGACGCTTTTATCCAAAGCGACTTACAGTCATGCGTGCATAAATTTTTGTGTATGGGTGGTCCCGGGGATCGAACCCACTACCTTGGCGTTACAAGCGCCGTGCTCTACCAGCTGAGCTACAGAGGAACAAGTGATCAACCGTGTGATTAGATTGATTTACAGCAACTGTGAATATTACAACCTGTTATGTACTGCATATGATCTACCTGTATGTATAAATGTTGTGAGTGGCGCAAGCAATCTTCTTGTTTTCATACAGCTAGTCAATAACCATTTTAACCTGAAACACAAGAATAGATGGCATTAAAAAAAATGACCTGTTGAAATCGGTTAGTTTGCCTCCTTTCCTTCAATCATACTCTCAACATTAGACGAATGATGGGCACATCTATCCCGTGGAGGCGGCTTGTTTTTAACAGAGTACGAGTTCCGCAGTAAACTCAAAAGTTCCCCACTCATCTTAGAACTCTTGTGTGGATGAGGGTAATCATTTTCAACACACCTGCTTGATTACTCTTCAAACGGATGGCGTATCTAACAGAATGACAAATATGCTGTAGGTGTCTTTCTGAAAGACTCTGACAGGTGCTGTTGACTCATACTCACAACAATATATTAAGTAAATTATTTCAAAAGTTTATAAAAACAGTTTTTGTACAAGAATAGCCTACTTGTATATTGGGTGAGTAATTGTAATACTGAAAATGTACAGTATGTAAAAGAGAACCGTACAGTGGTTTAATAGTTAACTTATGATATAATGTGTACTGTAATCACATTTACACAGTTCATGTACTCTGCAGGAAATGACATAATTATATCTGTCTAAATTGCTTATGATGGCAGGTGAGATATGTTTAAAGCAGCTCTTTCTGTTTTTAACCTGAGAGCATTGAGCAGCAAAGCACAGCCTGAGGATGTTTAGTTTTCCATATTGGAGGCACATTAGCATTGAAACTACATCCTCCCCACATGAACTTCAACTGACAGCTACTTCTGTCTCCCAACAAGGTTGCATTGTCTTACATGATCTTTTGAATATTCTAAGGCTTGTAATCTACTTGGCTAACTGTGAGATGTGACAGAATATGAATATTTTATAGTCAGCGAGAGGAGGGAGACAGGATGAGGGCCTACACAGTACCACAGTGACTAGTTGTGGCTGGAAGGTGCTGCGTCTATCTATGATCGTCCCCCCGTGTTTTTAATAGGAGGTAGTTCCTCATATACAAAGATTTACAAACACAAACAAGAGGCACAAGTAATAACCAATTGTCACTGGATTAACATGTGGGCAGCAAGCACAACTCAGTTTATACACAACATTTAAACTGTTACTTCATTCAGATATGAGTATTCCACTTGTTTTTGTCATTCTCTCTATTCAACAATACAGTAGTTAGTGCCATACCACTTGAGTGATTCTCGAAGAGGTGTACATTCTCTGTGTTCAGCTTTAGAACCCAGTTATCTGGTATTTCTTCATCATCATCCACTTCTGTTGTCATATTTCTCACCTTTGGTTGGTCCACTGTGAGAAAAGTAGAAAGACAGGCTGTGAAATGAATTCAAGCTGTGTATTTGTATGTCTTTGTGTCTCTGTATTAAGACTTTGCCAGTTGTATGAGTTTGAGTGTCCTTGAAGGCCCTTTCTGACTCTTCCGTTGAAAAGAACGTCAATTTGGCTGCAATGATCTCCAAAATTGTACGCATTAGCTCATCACACCGTTGACATAGCAACAGACGTTAACAGCTTATCGAATCCTATTGTGACGCATGGGGGTACACAAATTGGCAGGCGGACAGTATCTGGCATGACAGTCCCAATTTACATGGACACCTACTGCGCAGGTCCCATCATCAGCTTATTACCATTGCATGACCTTAAAATTAACAAATGTTAAAACAAGACAGATAAAGCCAAATAAGAAGGGTGGAATAGAACAAGGGTTACTTTGAATGTTAATATACTGAAACGTTTTGTAAAAATTGTGTACTATACTGAAAAGTACATTCATGCATAACCAAATTATGTTGTTGAACGTTATGGTGCTATAATGATTATGGAGTCTACATCGACGTCTACAGTACGTAGATAGGCCTTTTCATCAAATAATCCCAAATCACTTTTAATCTACATAATGATGCTTCCACAAGTACAATTATTGCATGTAGAATAGTACGAGTTCATTAAAAAAGGGAAAACATTGCACTGAGAAGAAATCCAAAATGAAGGATCAGAGGGCATTAGCACCAACCATTGCCCAAAACTATTTCTCATTATGGAAGAGGACACAAGCTGCAATTTGAATACACATTTCCATTTTCGACTTGCGTTTATACTTTAATGAATGTGCTCCAAACTGACAAATTTCCTTTAAAGCAAGGATGCTCTATGACCTATACCCAGCGTCTCATTTTAACAACATTCACATTCTCTGCTTTTAACCCATTTCAGTTGATCATTACAATTGTATAGAGAGAAAACACATAATTGCAATGATAGGACTGCATCCATATTGATGGATTCAATAGTCATTCATTTAAATAGTACTCCATGAAAGAAATATGCTAAATTAGCTTACAAAAGCTTACAGGCTTTACAAACAGTGAATAGAGTTTTAATAAAGAAGATCCTGTCTTTATGTTCAAACAGGTGAATAAATGGCATTAAGACTCACCATACATAGAAAACCATTTTCAATGACACTAAAATTACCAAATATACTTCTCTTTCCTCAGAGTCTCTTTGTATCTTTGACAAAGGTTTCGCCACAGGCTCACAGCACAGATACTGATCTTCATTCAGTTAAATGACAGAAACAGGAAAGAGGGCTTTTCATACCACCCACCAAGTCTTGTGTTCATCTTATCACGATGATGCATTGGACCTCAAAGAACTGAATGAAAGATCCCAATAAATCTGACTGTCATTTCCATGAAAGGAAGGAGATTGAAATCAGACCTACTCAATAGATTTTCTGTCTGAGCTCATGGACATGCATTGACATCTACCTGTACAAGGAAGGCAATGGGTGCACAATTTTGTAATCAGATTTCTGTAGCTGGGAAGGATTTATTGATAAGCAGATACTGCCCTCTAGTGAGAAAATAAAGTATCACATCAATCAGACACTGATTTTCACCTGTGTCTGTGCTTTGGGATTTCTCCAGGAGGAACTCCAGATCTTCTCCACCCAGAGGTAGAGGATGCTCTCCCCAGTATTCTCCCTGTTAGGAGACACCACTGCTTAGATAGATGTCAGTGGAGGCATATCTCCTCAGAGACATTGGTGAGACAGGGAATCGACTGTAGTCAGCAATACCCTGAGCTAACATGGCTTCACCATCAGGTAATCAATCTTTAGGTTAGCCTTATGACGGCATCCCCTCCATCTTACATTTATGTCATTTAGCAGATGTTCTTATCCAGAGCGACTTACAGTTAGTACATTAATCTTAAGACAGCTAGGTGGGAGAACCATATACCACAATCATAGTAAGTACATTTTTTCTCAATAAAGTAGCTATGAGCAAAGTCAGAGCTAGTAAGGGGGGTCAAGTGCGAGTGTTAGTAAACAAATTGTTTAAAAAATAATGTTTAGTCTGTGCTTCATGTAGTGAGTGATAATTAAATCCACTTACAAATACAGTACCAGTGGTTTGCTTAATATAAGTAATTTGTATAGCATTTACTTTTACTTTGTACTGTATGACAATTGAGTACTTGTTCTACCACTGTACTTAAGTACATTTAAAACCAGATACAAGCAATATCCTTCATCTTGAAAATATTTATACTAATACATACTAATGATTTACTTAAATCACTCAGTCATCTTATAAATTATAACCAAAAACCAAATTACTTAACTCAACCAAATTTAGAATGACAATTCTTAGTGATTCACTTGATCCTTATCAATCAAAATTAAAACCCTCAACTTTATCACCCATTACAACTATCAGAATATACACTTATATTAACATACAGCATAATTATATTATGACTTTCCTCATCCTGATAATAATTACAGATCATTATATCAATGCATTTTTAGTACTATTAATTTAGCAGTGTATATACCTACTACCCAAATTAGCAAATTTAGATAAATCAAATGTTTTATTAACACAGCTAAGCAACCCCTTTTCTCTCCCGGCACTTAAATCTTCTGGCGTCTCTTCATTGTGTTCTTCAGACATCTACACAGTTCAAAATGAATTGCCCATGACAATGTCACAACTTCAATGTCTCATCCGAGTCACCACCAACTCTACAACCTCATTGTCTTGTCCATTTGCCAACCATTATGCCCACAACATTAGAAATGTTGTATCTGAACATATATTTCTCCATTCTCACTCAATGGTGGACTCCTTTTCCACTCCCTCGATATAAAACATGAGATAATCCTTTGATAGCTACGATTGGCTGTTGTACACCAGTTGCATGTAGAAGTGGTGCTTTACAGAAACATCTTCAACGCCTCTGATATTCATCTTCAGCCGGTTCATAGGTTTTTTCTTTTTATTTAGGTTCACACCACTCTAGGCCAAATTATCCCTACTATGCATCAAGACACAATCTGTATTTACCTCACTAGAAGACAAAACATAACAGTTTAATTGATTTCATTTCTAATCCAATAAATCCATATAAGCATTGACTATATGACAAATTATTATGTTTTAACAATCATTCTTAATACCTATTCCTAATATACTCCCCAATTTCTATTAACATCGCTCTGTGTAGTGTGTCCTTCTTGCATCTTACCACTAGGGAAGTTGAGATTCACTGCTGCAAAAACACACAGACAAAAACACAAAAACAATGCTCCACAGTGGCAGTGCCATCTTCCTCCTCTGAGTTAGATTACTAGGAATCTGTCTCTGCTACTTTCCCTTCCATCGAGGTAGCCAGCAGCACCTAGTACTAACCTCTCCACCTAGATTCTGTCCAGCTCTTATTTCTTTAATCCTCTACTGCCACAAAGCATCCAAATCAGAAAATACCCAGGTTCTCCTGTTAGTTCTGGCAAAGAAGCCTTCACCTTTTGGAAGAAAGTCTTCAGAACATTGTTAGTTGATACAGTATGCTACTTTACCCCGTCTACTTATCAGTCAGTATAAACCTTGAGATTAGGAAGTGCACATCTTGCAGCTTGTAATAGTCCACTCTTTCCATAGACATGCCGCCTCTACATTCTGCCTTATACCACAAATACATTTTCACCTAAAACATGTAATCTAACCTATAACACATTAATTACTACTGCTAATTTTCTTAATATAAATTGCTTATTTACCAAAATTCCTCTTGCCATCCCTTTTGAACACATGACCCACATCGTGATTCATGCTTTCACAAACAAAACAACCAAAATAAAAATGACATTAAAATGACAACTTTTGATAATACCTTAACTTAATTGTATCCCCTAAAGTAATTCAAGTAATATGAACATTGACTAGCGACAGTTATCCCTCATTCAAGGATAGCTCTCTCACTCCTTTCTTTTCATGGTCCGAATCTTATATATATTTGGGATTATTGCCAAATTATAAAGTTCTTCATAATTATCAGTATTATAAATTACCCTCAACTCGATAAAATAAACTACCTTAAATTCCTCATCCCATGCCTCTAGGATTTCCAGTGTGGGTGATCAATTCACACTAGAAAGTCAGGACAGAGTTCAGAGGTCATTGAAATCCTTCAACGAAGTGTTCCATTCTGTAGTAGACTAATCATTACCAACAGTGAAAACATTTCATAAATGTAACGTATCCCAAGTGTACAGAAAAGTCCTCATGACATTTCTTCTCAAAAGAAATCACGTGTTTTACCCAAAACTCACTCAAAAAAACTTCATACAATTCACTGTCACACCCTGGCTCTGGGACTCTATATGTTGAGCCAGGGTGTGTTCATTCTATGTGTTGTATTTCTATGTTGGGAGTTCTAGTCTGTTTATTTCTATGTTGGCCTGAGTGACTCCCAATCAGAGGCAACGAGTGTCAGCTGTGGCTGGTTGTCTCTGATTGGGAGCCATATTTAAACTGTCTGTTTTTCCCTTTGTGTTTGTGGGTTTTTGTTCCTGTTGGTTTGTTCCGTTTTGGTTGTGCTAAACCTAGGACTTCACGTGTCGTGTTCGTTTGTTGTTTTGTTATTGTTATCACTGAAGATAATAAATATGTTCGCTCAACACGCTGCGCCTTGGTCCTCCTCTCTTAACGACGATCGTGACAGAAAAACCCACCATACCAGGACCAAGCAGCGTGTCCAGGAGCAGGCAGCCTGGACGTGGGAGCAGATTTTGGACGGGCAGGGGTCCTGGACCTGGGAGGAAATCCTGGCCGGGATGGATCGCCGGCCATGGAGTGAGACTGTAGAGAGGCGACGGAGAGAGGAGCAACGGCGTGATCAGGGTCGTCGTCGGACGGTCGAGAGGCAACCCCAAACAATTTTTAGGGGGGGGCACAGGGCATGGACGACGGGGCTGACGGAGGCAGAAAAGGGGCGTA